TTGTATTGTGCACAATACATGTATGCAACAAACACAACTCTAATAAATAATAATCACAACTTCTAAACGACCCCTAAGTTCATGTCAAGTAAAAGGTCTTATGACAAGCCCATCCCTTAACAATAGTTGGCTCGTTATTCGAGCCCGTATAAGTCCATCTCGTCCCTTTTGTCTCTGTACATAATTTAGTACAGGTGTCAAAACATAGCCCGACTCGATTAACCCGACTGCAACCCGAATTGACTAAAAGTCAACAACCCGTAACCCGCGCAGACCTGCAACCCGATTGGCCTGCAACTCAACTAACCCGCAATCCGACTGACCTGCAACCCGACTGGTCTGCAACCCAATTAACCCGCAACCCGATTGATCCAAACCCGAATAACCCGTAACCCGACCGACTCAACCCGAATTTCACCTAATCCACTTGAATAATTATTATAATATACAATACATACTTTGTTAAAATAAATTTTTTCATTCTAAACTTAAGTAAAATTATTTTCATTTCTCATAGGGAATTTAAAAAATATGAGACTCACTTGATATTATGTATTTTAAGAAAATTACAAAAATTGAAACATGAAGGTCACTTGAACACTAAGTTCTTTAACAAAATAAAAAAAGTAAATATAAAATATAAAACCAACATAATGTCAATATTAATAATGAAGAATTAATAATTGAGATCATGGACAATATTAATATAATATATAAATTAAAATTTTGGTTAATTTAACTATTCAATAAAATTATCAATTAAATATAAATAAAGTAAAGTAATCTATTTGGTAATTTGATGTTTTTAAAAGAAAAGATAAATTTTGGTGTAATCAACTTTTTGGGAAGAGAAAGAAGAGGGAAATTTGGTTCTTTGAATTTTTTAGAAAAGAAACAAGTGGGAATTTTGGTGGTTTTGATTTGTGGGAAAAGAAAGAAGTGGGAACGTTCGGTTCTTTTGATTATGAAAGAAAAATAATGAGGGAAATTTTGAGTTTTCAACTTTTTGTGGAAGGAAGGAAGGAATAGGGAAATTTGGTTCTTTCAATTTTATGGAAGAGAAAGAGGAGGGAAAATTGAGTGTTTCTAATTTATGAAAGGAGAAAGAAGAAAGGAAATTTTCGGTTTTTTTTTTTAAAGAAAGAAGGAAACAAATTTGGTGTTTTCAATTTTTTGGTTTTTCAAACTTTTAGCCTTTGAAATATGAATCTTTAATTTTTATATGGAGGGCATGACTAGTTAAATTTATTCTTAGGCTAAATTACACGTTTGGTCACTCAAATTATACAAATCTTTCACGTTTGTCACCCGAATTACTTTTGTTTCTTAGTCGCCACTAACTTTACGAATCGTTTCACCGTTAGTCACCGGCCGTTACACTCCGTTAAATTTGTCCTACGTGGCAGTTAACTATTAAGTTTGACCGTTAACTTGATGACGTGGAAATAAAAAAATAAGGAAATAAAAATTAATTATTTTCCACCTCATTGTCCCACATACTTTATTTAAATACTTTTCATATTAATTATTTAATAAAAATAATTAAATTACAAAATCCACTTACCATATCCAAGTCCCAACCTTCTTCAATTCCCCTCTTTACACCCTTCTGCGGAACCTCCACAAGACCCCAACCATCCCTTGCAATCCCCAAAAAATTGAAATTGGTCCCCTCTTCCGAACCTTCCGCCAACCCTACACCACCATCCATCTGCAAAACAAATCTCCAATTCTTCTTCCCCAGTTTACCTTGCTCTCCTCGCGGCTGATTCTCGTCAGTATATTCCAACCCAAAAAAGTAATCGGGCATCTCGAAGACTATGGAAGATACCTCGTACCTTCCCCGCTCTAGTGACCGATAGGAATTGAGCTCGCCGAAGAACCAGTGCTCCCGATTCGGCGACCCGTCGAGAAGCGAGCTGATGATGTTGGTTCTCGAACCCCCTGATAACTCAGCTAACCTTACGCTCGAAGGGAGGTGTTGTTGAAGGAGAACGCTCTGATGAGATTGGGATCCGGCTGAGGGAGACGAACTGCGCGAAATCGGAGATCGCAGACGGCGGAGGCGATGACTTCTAGATGCGGCGGCGGAGGGGTCGGCAGCGAGGAGTTGCCACCGGCTGAGGAGGATGGCGGCGAGGTGAGAGGAGAGGTGTACGTGACGCTGATGACGGCGGCGACATAAGTTGTTGGAGCGGAGAGGATAGTGCGATCTCCACCGTGGCTCTTCTTTCTCAACGATTGAGTCAATGCCGGAGATTTGTTTCAGTTCGTCCGAGAGAGAGACACACACAGAGAGAGAGAGAGAGAGAGAGAGAGAGAGAGAGCTGTGCGGGTGGGTGGGTGAAAATTAATTTTTGTAATTTAATTAAATAATTAATATGAAAAGTCCTTAGATAAAGGATGTGGGATAATGAGGTGGAAAATAAATTTTTTTATTTTTTTATTTTTTATTTCCATGTCATCAAGTTAACGGTCAAATTTAATAGTTGACTGCCACGTAGGACAAATTTAACGGAGTGTAACGGCCGGTGACTAACGGTGAAACGATTCGTAAAGTTAGTGGCGAATAAGAAAGAAAACTAATTCGAGTGGCAAACATGAAAAATTGATATAATTTGAGTGACCAAACGTGTAATTTAGCCTTTATTCTTATATGCTTTGAAGGCTAATATATATATATATATAAAATTGTTTATGGGATAATAAATAAATAACCATTAGTTACAACATTTATACTAAACTTGATAAGTAATCCTTGACGGTTCATTGTTTAGGGTATAAAGTATATGGTTAGGGTACAAGGTATAAGGTACAAATGGTTTAGGGTGTAGAAAGTTTAGTCCCCGACTTCGGAGCTTCTTTGTTCGTTCGCACCCTAATGAGCATAGCCAGGAAGACTTTATAATGGAATAGGTATGGGGTTCTCTAAGGTTGGTGAGCTTGCTGTCAAAGTCAGGTGGCGTCGATGTCTCTCCGCATTGGTCAACATGCGGTTATTAACCACGAGCCAGAAGAAGGTATGGATGCGTTGGGTTGCAGAGACTCGCCATATCGCTCTCCATGCTGAGTGTGACCCACCCGTCCTCCTCGTCAGTTAGTCCATATGCTGATTTGAGGGAGAAAGAACCGGACTGAGTTAACCTCCACGCTGGAACATCGCTACCCGTAAAAAAACAACTAAGAGAAAGTTCAAAAGGAGCTTTTTCATTGCTTACTTCGGAACCAACGTATGCTTACGGATTTATTCTAGAGAAGTTGAGATTCTGTATACGAGTTATCTATGTCTCGAATATGGTTAGCGTATAAGATATTAATGGTTTTGACGGTTCTAAATTTTTTATTAACATATGTTCACTTGAAGTCATTTTAAGTCTTTAACGGCAGGAGATCCTTTTTAATTTATGTTTATGGTACGTGGTTAGGGTACAAGGTATGCGGTGTAGAGTATAGAGTATATGGTTAGGGTATAACAATTAGCAAATATCACTTTTTATCCATGTTTTGAAAATCAAACTATGAATTTCACTTTTAAATTAACTATACTAGCAAAATCACAATTCATAATGACATATGATTAGGGTATAAGGTATAAGGTATGTGGTTAGTGTATAATGTATTGATGGTTTAGGGTATACAATCAACAACATATACTAACTTGATATTGTCGATGGAGGGTAAGGCTAAGTGTATAGGATATATGTTATTTGGTAAGTTATGATGAAGTCACGATAATTTTACTAAATTTGATAGTTAATCTTTAATGGTTCAATTTTTAGGATAATTCGAACAATTTTACAAATAACTCGTTTGACAACAGTTTACTGATTATTTGGGCAATGAGTTATTTCGAAATAACTCCTTTTATCACTCTGCTTTTGCCAAATACCAGATTTGCATGGTTATACTAAACGAGATACTTTAATCCAATTACTACTGAAATAATACTAAAATATCAAACAAACAATTAATGGTGTCTTTTGGTTTCAAATATTGATATCACCATTACTATTAGCTAGTGTACTTTACCAATTATGATTAATAACGTAGCAAGTTTGGAAGTCATACAAACTGATTTAACATTTTAACTTTTTTTTTCAAAAAAAAATGAAGTATATATATACGAGGTAGAAATAAATTGGTTAAAAAGTTGAGAAAATATTTCAAATTAGTGTAGTAAAATGTGTAAGTTGGTAACAGGTAATGAGTAAGTTACTCGATGCGCTGGCCCAAACAACCCGAAACCCGATCCGCCCGCAACCCGCCCGACCCAAAAGTCGATGAACCCGCAACCCGATTTGCCCGCAACCCAATTGAACCCGAACCCGATAAACCTGCAATCCGACTGACCCACAACCTGTTTAAACCCGAACCCGATGAACCCGAACCCGATGAACCTGCAACCCGACTAACCCACAACCCGTTTCAACCCAGCCCGAACCCGCCCGATTGACACCTATATAATTTAGTGACCACTTTGTTATATCCAACAAAGTTTAGTGACCCTGAGAAGAGATGGTTAATTCCGGGGGAGATAATCTGCTTAATTACCAGCTAAATTGTCATCATCGCCCAATTAAAACCGTCGGCAAGAAAACCCGACAGTTAAAGTCGTTAATTAATCCCTTCAATACAGTGGGCCGCCCACCACCCAAATGAAAAGAAGAACAATATCATGGTGCTTTTTGCCCCCTCCCTCCAAAAAAACAAAATAATTAAAATCATTGTCTTCCTATCCAACTCACGGACATGTGTATAGACTTCACCCAACCCCACCTCCCAATACAAAACCATTTGAATTATACTAAGAATATAACATCTAAACCAGAAAAGAGGATTTGCTGTATATCGTAATTGCTGGAATGGTTTTAGACACTCAAGGAAACATATAAGACACCTCATTCAAAAAAAAATTAGGCATCTCCTTCTCCCCACAATAATATAGATAAAAAGCATATAATGTTTGCATTTCTCATGAAGAGAGGAAAAGATAAGCCCCACTATGTCAGGAATCCAACAGTACCCATGATCAGTCTCTGCATGATTGCATAGATGGCAAGACGATGAAAAAAGAATAAATACAGCAGCAAAGAGCTCCAAATAGTGGTTAGTCCAAGGAAAGGTGTAAATTGGACACTTAAGCTTACTTGTAGAGCTCCAAAGAGGCCAAGGTTTTCCAAACAAAATAGCATGTTATCATGCACTCTGTGGAGGAACCTTTTGGTGCTTTGAAAACTTTCAAGACTGGTGCGGTAGTCTGGCTTCTTCCTAAGTTCTAATATGCACTGCTCAAACCACACAGAGAAATCAAATGATAGTTTGATTAATCTTTGTAAAAGGAACAAAAGAAGAAAAGAAAATTAAGACAAGTAGCAAGAGCACACCTGACGCATAACTTCCCCAAGTCTAGTGGCACATTTCTCGTGAGAGGGCAATACCCGATACAAATATATTCTAACAGTAGGATTAGCGACATAACGATCCAATTCTTCCTTATTTTCTACTGAATAAACCTGCAAAGGAAAGGTTGGGTAAGGTCAGAATGACCACCAGCCACATAAACCAAACCATAAATATTAAAGCCGAAAAAGTAGCAGTTCCATCCTTTCTTGTTCAGTTTGCAACTTGGAGATGTTATCTGTATGCAGAGTTTAGGGCTCTGGCAATACAAACCACCACTTTATATATGGAACTTGAAGATTCAGAATGTTAAAGACTGATTTTTTGTGGTTTTCACTTCTTAGAACCTTAACGTCTTGAGGTGATCATTAACCAGTACCAGATGGCTCTTCTCCTTAAGGAATTATAAAACCTTGGTAATTCAGTTAATTGCGACTCTGGAAAACCTACCTTACAATTCAATAATGATTCAAGACTATTGATGCTCTTTGATAAATTTTCTTGACTAGAAGCGCCTGAGAGAGAGCATGAGCATACAAGAAGGTCAGGAGATAGTGAAAGGAAGAGGGCCAAAAGTGAACTCCCAGGTTGACAATTTAGTTCAGCAATAACAGATAAGCACACAAGCAAGAGGTTACAGGCACACAATAATTCCTACAAAATGAAGATTTGAACTGATGAGACAATAGATAGAAGAAAAAGTACCTTTCCCCACAACTGGTGATGCAGTCATGCCAAATATATGTGGGAGTCTGCCAGTATTGTTGTTATAGAAAACCTATGGCATCATTTTGAAGTTAAAAATCACATCAACTGCTAAAATCGAAAACCAACAACAACTAATACGTCCATGCTTGTCTACCACCAGAAGCATAAATTCAATTAACCATTTACTTTCATAATCTTCGAATATGGATGATCGCTTTTAGCTTGGGCATGATGGCACTCATCGAATATCAGAAGCGCAATCAGTTCCATCGTGATGAAGCTGTGACTCAAATTGTGCAGCAGAATTTGAGGTGTCATGACAAGAACCTGTGAGTATAAAACAACCAGGATAAAATCAATAGCAGCTTACATACAAGGATGATCATTATGAACGCCTATTACCAGTTCTGTAATAATAAACCACACGACAGGAGAATTTCAGTACCCTACCTCACAATCTTCAATTTCTTTTTCCCAATCTGAATGGGAATTTGATTTCTGGGAGCTCCCACAATGAATGCCGACCTTGAAATCAACAGAATCTTCAATAACCTTGGCTTGCTGCAAAATGACATCAATTGTACTTCATAAGTCGCCCCCAAACTTGAGCTCACAACTGGTGTGTGCTTCTGGTCCCAGCCATGCCCACAAGTACCATCACTATACTCGTGCATTAAATCAAAACAGGTGGGACATAGTACCAATAATAGAAGATCGATCAACCTTAAGACCTTACATATCCAAATACTATTACCACAAAGATAAAATAAATAAAAAACAAACATTCAGACCAACCCAAATTGAAACATGCAGTTAGAGATTTACAAGATAACAACACCAATTCACCTGATTCACCAAAGCAACTGTAGGTGCTAGAAAGACACAGACTTTCCTCTGAGGACTCCTGATCAAATGCCCAAATTCATGAATAAGCAGCACCGCAATGTGGGTCTTCCCACAACCTGTCCCCAGCCAGACAATTATGTTCTCCTCCATAGCTTTCTTGCACAGCTCCAGCTGATACCTAAAACCCAACCCAAAGAGAAACTAACCCGTTAGTCCTCTGAGAAAGGGGGGAGAAAAGGTGATCACTTTCACCTCTATTTACCAGAATCTGACTCCGATTCACCAACCCCAACCAAGAAGCTAACAAACAGCTCAACAAACAAACAAATAACTAGAGCAAACAGTAAACACAAGGACGAAACAGAGAGAAGGAAATGTCGTTACTTTCTAGCGGTTCTTCTAGGATCTTTCGCCGTCCTTTGAACTTCGGCCGGAGATTCGACCCCATCCTCGACCGTCAAACCTGAAGAACAAGAAGAAGAAGCAGAGATGGTGGTGGTGGACATGGCTGCTGGAGTTGGGGAAACAGAGACTACACGACAGGAGGAGGTTTCTCCGTCCGGCATCACGTAAACTAGCCGGCCGGCGATGAATGACAAGGTGGGTACCGGGTGATTTTGACTGATCGGACCGTTTGAGAGCTGTGGGGGATTCACAGAGTCGGGGGGAATAAAGCGGGAGAAAGAAAAGGCAGGTGAGGGGAAGATGAAGCAGCAGGGCGGGTCTTTAATTCTCTTTTTAACGGAGAAATTAAAAGAAAACTTCTCTTGTAAGGTGGAAACAAAAGGGCTGCTTACTTTGATCAAAAAAAAAAAGGGCTGCTTACTACTTAGCACTTACTCCGTCAACGATGAGGTCAACGACCACAGTCAGAAAGGGTCACATGCAAATGGAATTTGTGAGTGGTCAAAGATTAAGTATATGAGAGGTAGTAGTTTGTGGATGGATGAAGTGTAGGTTTAACCTTTGTTAAGTGAATATTATGGGGAAAGTGTAGCTAATCGAGCAGCTCTAGAATCATGTGTACAAGTTCGTAATGATCTACGTGATCTTGTTTGTGAGGGTAAAGAGATTATTCCTTATGCTAGCAAATGGAATTTTGAATTGGTTGTTGTTTGTGATTATGTAAGTTTAGTAATTGTATCATTCAAAATTAAATGAGATCTTGGATTCTAAACAGAGAAAGTCTTCGATTTTCAATTTACCTTAAAGTATCCCATCACAATGGTCTTCTATGGAAGTAAGTTTGGTTCATTTCATCGACCAAAAATGAAATTTATCAACTTCAACTATATATTTCATCGATTGAAATTTGAAAAATTTATCCGAATGGTAAAGTTTCAGTGATTTTATCGATTTAAGTTTAAATTATTTCTATATTCTAGGTTTACAAGATTCTTTCATTCAAACGACTCACGAATTGACCCCCAATCCTCTCTCTCTCTCTCTCTCTCTCTAGAAATCTCAATAAATAACACAACATTATATAGCAAATAGCACCCTCGACTCCCCCTAACACCCTCAAAATCCAAAGTCTATGAAAACTAGGCTACAAAATCAAAAAGCAAACTCTAAATAATATATCAATAGAGTTTTGCATGTCACTTTATGGGCAGCTCAATAAGCAATATTAGAAAACACCATCAACTTTACACGAAAGAAGAATGAGGAAGGAAAGTGCAGACATTCACATAGTATGGATCACCCTAGCACCTTTTTGGAGTTGGCAGAAGACGACATTCTAAGTCAACCTTGATGATCGTCGTGGATATATGTTTTGATTAATTAGCGAAAAAATGGTTGCTTGGGCATCGAGGCGCTATGGAACATAAGGGTTTAAAATTCTAAGATAGAGATCGTTCGAAACCAATCGAACGAGATCATCAGCATCACAAAAATCAAGCAGGTCTACAAAGCAATAACTTCGACAAATCAAATTGGAAATGAGTTGTGTAGGTACAAGTTCAAGGAGTGTATATGTTAGATATTCCATGGATTTGATTAGTGTTCATTGTATAATGTGATAGAAATTGTGAGACAGTGGTTATAAGTAGTAGCATATAGTGATTGGAAGTAGTTACAGTAGCACTGATGTCTTGTATCTTAAGTTTTTCGAGGAACTTGGTCATAATTGTGGGCAGGCTAGAGCTTAATAGAGAGCAACAACAATTACTAGGAAAAAAAATCTCGACAAGCACACAGCTGTCGAATTAAAATTTAAGAAACCAACTGGGGGATATCAAAAAGCAGCGAGGGTAGATGAAGAATATGAGCAACACAGGAGGGAAGATAATAGTTTATTACGTGCTGTCCAAGTTTCCGCATGGTGACGTCCACACCCGCGAGTTCCAGTTCTTGTCAAAGAAGGAATGTCCAGTTCTTGTCAAAGAAGGAATGTTGTTATTCCTTTATTGTTCCTTTATTCTTTTCAGTCTTTGTATAAGGGGTTACTCTCTTGGCCCTATATATATGCTTAGCGGGTGAATGTGTAAAGCTAAGCAAGTCAGTCTGTTCATCATAATAAATCAGTAGTCCGTGAGCTCGGTTGAGCTCACCGTGGAGTAGTCTCGTTCAAATTGAACGAGGAAACCACATAAATATCGTGTGTTTGTGTCATTCTATATTCCGCGTTCATCAATTCTATTATGGTATCAGAGCCGATCAAGATCGCCGCCTGGGTTCTGCGCCTCTGATCTGCTCGTGTCTTTCCGTCTCTCGTCGTCAGCAGCTGTCACGTCTCTGATCAGCTCGTCTTCGTTGTTCCTCATTGCCCACTGTTGTCGCGATGAGTGATAAGGATATTGATCCGAAAACTGAAGCACCCGAGGCGACGGGGTCTCTCTCCAAGGATGATCTTATTGGATCGATCTCGCCGTTGTTTCTCCACGCTTCGGATGCTCCAAGTCAAGTGTTTGTTGGTGAATTGCTGACCGATATGAATTATGGTGAATGGTCAGCTGAGATGTCTAATGCACTTATTGCCAAGAACAAGTTCGGTTATGTTCTCGGCACTGTTCCGCGTCCGGTTGATGGTGAACGTCTCAATGCCTGGGTGCGCTGCAACGCCATGGTTGTCGGCTGGCTCCGCAGCGCCATGTCAAAGGAAATCCGCACCAGTCTCAGTTCGGGCTTCACTGCCCAACAAATTTGGGACGAATTGAGCGAGCGCTTCAGCACGGGGAGTCTTCCTCGCCGCTACAAAATTCGTCGCCAACTCACTAGTCTGCGTCAGGATCGCTCGAGTGTCTCAACCTTCTATTCCAAACTGAAACGTCTTTGGGATGATTGGCTTACGCTGGATCCACCAGCCAAGTGCACCTGTGGTCAATGTACTTGCAATGTGGAACAGCGCACTCGAGACTCACATGAAGCCATGCGCCTTCTTGATTTTTTAGTTGGACTTGATGATGATTTCTCGGCTGTACGTACTCATCTCCTTTCTCTGAAACCAGCACCAAGCTTGGGCGAGGCCTATCATGCGGTGGCAAACAAAGAACAACAAAGGAGTATCACTCATGATCACCGTCCTCGCGGAGAAGCTGCTGCCTTTCATGGCCAGGGGGAGAAATCTCGTCAAGACGAAAGGACCTCTGACGGTCGTCCCCTGTGCACCCATTGTGGGAAGACGGGGCATTTTCGTGCTACTTGTTACGATATTATCGGCTGGCCTACACGCTCTGGGGAGAAAAATGAAAAACCTCGTCGTCCAAGTGCACGTCAAGGGCGTGGGACTCCACAGGCAGTCGTGGTTGAGGGAGCTGAAGTCATGATCCCTGGTTTGTCGGCAGATCAAGTAGCTCAACTCAAGGCCTTTCTCAATTCCAATCCCAAACCAACTGAAGTAAAGTCCGCACCTGCACAACCAAAAATGAACATGTCAGGTAATATTCTCACCGATTCCTCCGAAGTGTGGGTTATTGACTCTAGTTGTAACGAACATATTGCTAAGAGTTCGTCGTTGTTGCATGGTGAGTTGGAGACAATCTCCACTTTGCAGGTTAAAATCCCAAATGGTACAGGGATACCAGTCCGCGGAATTGGGGTGTCGAGGCTGTCGAATGGTCTAACATTGAATCGTGTCTTATATATGCCTGATTTTCAGTGCAATCTCTTATCCGTCAGTCGTCTCACGGCCGATCACTCTGTTGCCGTGATTTTTATGAGGAATTTCTGTGTGCTCCAGGACTTACACTCCAGGAGAATGATTGGGATGGGTAAGCACGTTGATGGTCTCTACTACTTGCGGGTTTTCGATGATGGTCATCCAGTGGCGTTCGCGGCGAAGCAAGCAGTTCGAGATTCTCAGTTGTGGCATGCTAGGCTCGGTCATCCCTCGTCGGCAAAGCTTTCAGCATTGCAGCGTCATTTTTCTAGTCCTTTGGTAGTCAATAAAGACCCGTGTTTGTCATGTTTACGGGCGAAGCAAACTCGTTTGCCATTTTCTGTTAGTTCGATAAAGACTAAGTCGTGTTTTGAACTCATACACATCGATATTTGGGGCGGTTATCAACAGGCTTCATTCAGTGGAGCACATTATTTCTTAACTATTGTCGATGATTTTAGTCGCGCAGTCTGGGTGTTTTTGTTAAAGTAGAAGTCCGAAGTTGCACGTCACTTGCTGTTATTTCTTAATCAAGTGCGGACGCAATATGATGGAAAAGTCAAGCGTATCCAATGCGACAATGGTCGCGAGTTCACAGTCACAGAGCTGCGCAACTACTATGAAGCCGAAGGAATTGTGGTCCAAACGAGTTGTACCAATACGCCACAACAGAACGGCGTTGTGGAGCGCAAGCACCGTCATCTATTGGATACTGCACGAGCTCTACGTTTCCATTCTGGTCTCCCTATTCACTTTTGGGGGGAGTGTGTGCTTACTGCAGCCTATTTGATTAACCGAATGCCACTGGTTCCCATACAGAATCGTACTCCCTATGAAATTCGGCTTGGTCAAGTGCCCGACTATACTCATCTACGCAGTTTTGGTTGTCTTGTGTATGCTAAAGATACACGTGTTGGTCTTACTAAGTTCGATGCCAGAGGGAGGGCTGGTATTTTTGTCGGGTATCCTGCGAATCAGCGAGGGTATCGAGTCTATGACATCGGTCAACAAGTCATCTACACCTCACGAGATGTGTTTTTCCTAGAGGAGATTTTCCCTTTCAAGCGGGTTCAGTCATCGCCTGCATAGTCTGATGTTCCATCACCTACCTTCCCCTTCGACGTGGATGATCCATCTCAGTCCGATGATGATCTCTTCAAGCTAGTTGATGATGTAGCCAGCTCACTGGATGCTGACTCATTGCCCACCAAAGAAAATCAGTCCTCATCTTTGGTTGAGGCCGAAGTCCCTAGTCCCTCGACCTCGTCACACGTCGAGGCCGCAGAAGTAAGTCCCTCAAGCTCGTCGCCAGGGGGAGCGTCAAGCTCGTCCACATCCGCTCCTCTATCAAGCACCACCCCATCTTCCTTGGAGGGTGATCACGTTTTGCCTGTGCAACCAGCTGAAACAGTGGTGACACCCCCACCAGCTCCTCCACGACGCAGCAATCGGCACGTCACTCGTCCAGTTCGTCTCAACGATTATGAAGTTAAGCTTCCAGGTCATCGTGCAGAATCAAATCATGCACTCTATCCAATCAGCAACTATGTCACTTATGATCGCCTCTCATCGGAGCACAAGGCGTTCATTGCATCAGTTTCAGATGGTTTGAGTCGAGGTCATTTCATCAAGCAGTCAAGTTTCAGCACTGGCGCGACGCCATGCAACGAGAGGTACTCGCTCTCAAAGAGAATGGGACTTGGTCCCTCGTGTTTTTACCTCCTGGCAAGCATGTCATCGATTGCAAGTGGGTATACAAGATAAAATATAAGCCCGATGGCTCGATCGAACGATATAAAGCTCGATTGGTTGCTAAGGGTTTTACGCAGATCGAAGGAATAGACTATCATGATACGTATGCCCCCGTTGCAAAGCTTGTCACAGTCCGCTGCTTGATTGCCTTGGCCGTCAGTCAGGGTTGGTTTCTTCACCAATTGGACGTCAATAATGCATTTTTGCATGGCGACTTGGATGAAGAGGTTTATATGCGAGTGCCTCACGGTTTTGCTGCTCCTGGTGACACTCGCGTTTGTCGTCTACATAAGTCGATTTATGGGTTGAAGCAAGCTTCCCGCAACTGGTACCAGAAGTTCTCCCGGGCACTACTTGAGCTTGGTTTTGTCCAAAGTCGTGCCGACCACTCCCATTTTATTCGTCGTTCTGGTTCCAGTTTCGTAGCTGCCTTGATCTATGTCGACGATGTCATTCTAGCAGGTAATGATTCACAGTTCATCCAGCAGGTCAAGGATTCCCTTCACTCCCAGTTCACAATCAAGGACTTAGGTACTCTGAAGTACTTCCTTGGCATCGAGGTCGCTCGTTCGCAGAAAGGTGTGGTGCTCAACCAGCGAAAGTATGTACTCGACATACTCTCTGACAGTGGGCTCATTGGGACGAGGCCCTGCTCCACTCCCATTGAACAGAACCATCAGTTAGGTCGTCAACCTTCTGCTCCTACAGCTGATCCCTCCAGTTATCGTCGTATTGTTGGACGCCTTCTCTACCTCACAGTCACGCGTCCCGACATTCAGTATGCTGTCAACATCTTAAGTCAGGCTGTTCATGCCCCCACACAAGTTCATGTCGATGCTGCAACACGTGTTCTGCGTTACCTTAAGCAGTCTCCTGGTCGAGGTCTGTTTTTCCCGGCAGAGACACCACTTGTTCTCACGGCCTTCTGTGATGCCGATTGGGGAGGTTGTCCCCTCACTCGTCGGTCTACTACAGGGTATTTCATACGTCTTGGTGGCGCCCCCATTTCTTGGCGTACAAAGAAGCAGACAGTTGTTGCTCGCTCCTCAGCGGAGGCTGAGTATCGTGCCATGGCCACCACAGTCAGTGAGCTTGTTTGGCTCCGTTGGTTGCTTACTGAGCTGGGTCATCCTCTATCTTCTGCTACTCCATTGTATTGTGATAGTCAAGTTGCTTTGCACATTTCTGCAAACCCGGTCTTCCATGAGCGCACCAAGCATGTAGAGATGGATTGTTATTTTGTACGAGATCGTGTTTGGTCTGCTGAGGTCACTCCATCCAAAATAGCTACCCAAGAGCAACCTGCCGATATCTTCACCAAAGGCTTGGGCGTGGATCAGTTTCAACATTTTCTTTCCAAGCTCGGTATGCTTGACATCCATACCTTCGCTTGAGGGGGAGTATTACGTGCTGTCCAAGTTTCCGCGTGGTGACGTCCACACCCGCGAGTTCCAGTTCTTGTCAAAGAAGGAAAGTCCAGTTCTTGTCAAAGAAGGAATGTTGTTATTCCTTTATTGTTCCTTTATTCTTTTCAGTCTTTGTATAAGGGGTTACTGTCTTGGCCCTATATATATGCTTAGCGGGTGAATGTGTAAAGCTAAGCAAGTCAGTCTGTTCATCATAATAAATCAGTAGTCCGTGAGCTCGGTTGAGCTCACCGTGGAGTAGTCTCGTTCAAATCGAACGAGGAAACCACGTAAATATCGTGTGTTTGTGTCATTCTATATTCCGCGTTCATCAATTCTATTATAGTTAAATTCCAGAATTTGGTATGAAATTTGGATAGCTAGAGAATGGACACTGGTTGAGTAAGCTAAACATCACTATATTACGAGCTTCCGAGATCCTCCACTCGAGACACACATGTGGAAGGATATGTTAACTCAGAATGGGAAGAAGATCTCAAAATTTAACACTTAAACTCTTTTGATGCAGCTCACAACTTAGTAATTTGTAACAAGAGAAAGATTTTATTGATAACAAAAAGGATAACATATTACAAACAGAAACCCTGGTCGAGTCAATCGAATTGGCCCTTTAAACTCACAACAAAGAACTAATTACTTCCCAAGCTTAAGTCATCCAGATTGACAAACACTATGACAAAGCTACTGAAGCAATTAATTGACCCAATGCAGAAGAAAAACTCTCTATTGTTTCACTCACTGCAAACCACCAACTTTTACAATGGGAGGAGATACCTAATTTATAGGAAGTCGAGGAGAATGGCATTTTGAGGAAGATGACCGTTTTGCTAGAGTCTCATGATGACTCCTTTCTAGAAGCTTTTGTAGAGGCGGTGCCTACTTTGTAGAGATCTTGAGCAGAATGTCGAGAGAGAGAACAGGTTAGTTGGTGCTGGTGCAAAAGTGTTTCTCGATAAAGACAAGAGCTTTTCTCGATGAAGATGAAAAGCTCTATTGCTTTGTTGGCTTCATGAAGACTTGGAAGAACAAAATGCCATCGTATTATGATGTGGAAGGAGCATAGCCGTTTTGAGACAATGTTGTGTCATATCAGCCAACAGGATATGTAATTGGGAGCACAAAAAGTCACGCCAACGATGATTGAAATTGACAATTGTGATCGAATGAAGAAACTCTTCAAACCGTACTAGTGTGTAGTGTCCATAGGTTGACAGTTAAGGCACTCCTTTTAAAAAAATCATTCAATGATCTCGTGATGCCTTTGATATATATGACACTACCCATGCTACAAGCATACATTTTATTGATCTCATGACAATTGATGATTTACACATATCATAAATAATGACGATCGATCGATAATGAGATACTTATTATGAAAACTATTATGGTTGAACAAACTAACATCAATCCATCATCGATCTTACATTTAATCATCAACATTCTACGGAAAAATGATATGACCCTAGTTGTCATGGATTACTAAAACCAATAATGATCGAGAATTTACGAGATTTTTTTATACAAATAACGTGAGCTTCAAATTTCAAAACAAGAAAGAGTGGATGTTTGTGAAAATGAAATCAATTTAACTTATTTTGCGTTGAGTTTCAACGAAAAATTGCACAAATACCGCTAATTATAAGTTCAATTTCATCTTGATCTCCTTCGCCACTTAATTGTCAAAGTTCATCAACTTTTTTTTTTTTATAGATAATCTCATTTATCTTTTCTCTGTGTATCATAAAATTTTCAAATGCTATAACGAAATTGAATTGAATCACTTTTTTTTTTTTTGGCCAAAGGAATTGAATCACTTCAATAAGCACTATTAAAAAGTTACTTTCATAAAATAAACCAAATTAAAAGACAGTACCAACATATTGGGCTTGAACCCAAATAGTAAAATCCAGTCAAGCCCATAAAAACAAGTGGCAAAATAGATCAGACCAAGCCCATCCAAAATAAGTGGCCCAATCCAAAATAACTACATTGATCGTTCTCTGCCAATCAGTCGATCCCCACGCCAGTCATCCTGATGGCGAAAATGCATCAGAGCTCTCTTCCCGCCGGTAAGCCACTCCAGGCAGTTCCACCGCAGGTGGCCACGAAGCCAACGGTGGCTTTCACCACTCCGTCGAACTACGCAACCAGGCTGTCTCGACTCCTCAGTCTCAATTCCTTCACTCCGCTGTGGTGCCCAACCATCGCCACCGAAGCCACCGCGGAAACCGTCGCTTCTTTCGGCCACCACCTCTCCGCCGACTCCATTTCTCTTCTCTCGGCCATCGCTTTTCCTTCACGGACCGCAATTGAAGCCGCTTATGCCGCGTTGCTCTCCCTGGCCACGCCTCTCTTACCTCCCGACGCCGCCGATTCCCTCGTTCTCGCCGCACTAGGCAAGGACGCGGAGCTGCTGGACTCGGAGTTTCTGCTTAAGTTCTGTTCTAATGTCGATAGGGTCAGAGTTCTGGTTCCTACGATTCCTACGCCAAGTGGATTGGTCCAATCGCTGGGGCTCGGGCGCGGCCGGAGAGTGCTGTGTCCGGTTCCTAGGGTGATTGGAGTTCAGGAACCGCCGGTGGTGCCTGATTTCCTCCTGGAGCTGGAGTCCGCCGACTGGAATCCTGTCCGAGTCGATGCTTATGAGACGCGGTGGTTGGGCCCCACCTGCGCGGCGGAGATAGTGGAGGTGGACGAACTGGATGCTGTCATTTTCACGAGTACTGCGGAAGTGGAAGGCTTGCTGAAAAGCTTGAGGGAGCTTGAATGTGATTGGACGACGGTCAGATGCAGGCGGCCGGAACTGGTTGTGGCAGCACATGGTCCGGTGACGGCAGCTGGAGCTAAGAGATTGGGAGTGGACGTTGATGTGGTCAGTGGCAAGTTTGAGAGCTTTGAAGGCGTCGTCAAAGCGCTGCATTCACGCTTCAGAGGTTTGAGCTCTAGATGTTTGTGAAATTGCATGAATGACATTTTTGCTTGAATGATAAAGCTTGGCATTGGATTCACACATCCAATGCTCATTGTCCTGATGGTTGCTTTTTGTTTAAGCTTCACTTGGTTAAGTTCAACTTTCAATTCCAGAAATCATGCTGCCTATTGCATAGCTCACATGAATAAACAGAAAATTCTGAGATCACTTTTCGATATACCAATTATCGTTTGATACGGACAAACTTGTAGCTATTATATTACAGGGCAACTAAGCAACACCCTGCATATGCTGCAAAGAAATACTCACCCTTTAGTAAACTCGGTATATATCCATCATTACTGCTAATCTTGCTATCTGGAATTAACTATAATTCAGTTTCTACATATGCTTTTTCCCCCATTCATTTGTTCTGTGGAATTGGCTTTAATAAAATCTTCAGTGCCTCTTCCATGGTTGGCCTGTCGGATGATCTACTTCTGGTACAGAGTAGAGCAACTTCAAGAACTTGTTTTATCTCCCTTTTAGTTGAATCCAGAGTGCAAGATTCATTCTCACTGTACATTGCTCTCAAGAGTACTTCTGTAGGCTTGTTCTGTGTACCCCATCCAGCTTTAGCATGTCCACCATTGCTCAAGATCTCCAAAATTATCTCTCCAAAGCTATATATATCACCGTAGAGATCCTCCTTAACGGCACCATTCACTTTGCCTGTTAAGCATATAAAAATTAGTTCAAGAGGACTCTTAAGATAACTCTTTTAACTTCTTTCTAATCTAAGAGTCAAATAATACTGCTGTTCTTGATTTAAGGAACAGTTCTACGAGAATCTTACTGTGATCCTATGTCTACTTGTCTGGTGTTTGTAGAGGACAAACAACAACTTTCTGGATTGTAATTTTGTGATACTTGGCATATAAAAGGTGGAAGCCAGAGTGTTTCCAAAACATTTTTGCATCGTATGACTTTTGATTGAAGGTCTGTTTTGTCTGACTTTTGATTAAATACCGTCCTAAGTCTTAACATGGGATGTATGAAGTTTACCTGTCTCTTTCCTGGATACTGTTGCCGGAGTGCCACTACTGATTTCTGCCAGGTACTTGAACCCGAACTCCGATAAATGGGGCTCCATGTTTTCGTCGAAGACTACATTACTCGACTTCAGATCTCCATGAGGAATCGCAGGGTAACAATCGTGGTGAAGAAAGGAAAGCCCCCTAGCAATCCCAATGATGAGTTTCCTCTTGGTTGCCCAATCTCTCTTCATGGCCACCTTCTCAGTCAAATTCCCATTTGGCAAGTGATCACACAAAAGGTAAGCTAGTTGCTTGTTGTAGCAAGCTCCAAGCAATCTGACCAAATTCTTGTGCCTAGCATTCCCAATTTGCATTATCAATTCCATGCTGGCATTCATTGTCTTTGCCTCCAGCTCAACCTTTTTAACTGAAACTGTTATTCCTGTTGGCAGAACTGCTTGGCAAACTGAAGCTGATGATGGAGGCAATTCCTTCAGAATATCGCTTGCAGTGAACTGAGGGAGTCCGGCAAAGGGTATCATCTTCCATTCACCTTTGCCTTCTCTCCTGATGTAGAATACCCCCAATACCGAGGCCAAGACTAATACAACCACAGCTAACAGAACCCATGTAAGCTTCCTTGTTCCTCTGCCCCCATATGTCGTCATCGAACCAGGGCATGGGTGGAGAGGTGCTCCACATAGTTTTGGGTTTCCCGCATAAGCACTGCTTCCCATTGCTCTAAACATGGCGGTGGAAGGAATCGAACCAGAAATATCATTGAAGGATACATTTAGAAGTACTAGAGTTGAAGAATCACCAAGCTTTTCCGGTATTTTCCCGCTCAAATTATTATGCGCGAGGTCCATCTGGACAAGAGCTCCACACTTGGAAACACTTTCAGGGATGCTTCCTTGGAGCTTGTTCACTCCTAACTCGACGAAAGAAATGGATGTGCAGGACTCGACTGGTGGAAGAGCCCCTGAGACATTACAATTCGAGGCAGATAAGTTTTGAAGAACCGGTGACGACCATATTCCCAAAGGAAGTTTACCTCCAAGGGCTGGATTATCAGTAATGTTAAAGTACTGCAGCTTAGGAGCTTGAGAAATGTCTCTGGGAATTCCGCCTGTGAAATTGTTTAACGAAAGATCGACATATGTGATCTCAGGAAGTTGGCTAAACTTCAGAGGAATTTCCCCTGAGAAGGCATTGTCTTCTAGTCTTAGACGAACGAGGGAAGAGCAGTTGGACATTGATGGTTCAAGGCTTCCTGTAAATTTGTTTGAGAAAAGGATCAACTTGAACAGAGCATTTCCAGCACAAATGCCTTCTGGAATTCCACCAACGAAATTGTTAGTTGAAACATCCACCCATTGGAGGTTTGAGTTCTTCCCCAAGTCCTCTGGAAGAGGACCTGAAAAGAAATTATTCCATATGAGAAAAGTTTCCAGTGAAGGAAGCTTTGAGATCCCTTCTGGGACACTTCCATTCATATCATTATACATGAGACTAAGCAGCTTCAAGTTCTTCAGCTCTGAAAAACTCTCAGGTATGGGCCCAGAAAGCTGATTATCAGAAAGATCCAAGCTAGCTAGAGGCAAAATTCTGCTGAATTCCCATGGAATTGGTCCAGTCAGCTGGTTCCTGAAGAGGAACAACGACTCAAGCTTGGTTAGATTAGAGAGTTGACCTGGAATGTAGCCAGTTAGATTCGCCCCTGCTATATCCAGATACTGAAGCTCACTCATGTTACCGAACTCCCATGGAATACTCCCCTGGTAAGAATTGTATCCTATCTCTATATGTGTCACCGTTTTAAGCTTCCCGAGTTCCGGTGGGATTTCCCCATTAAGGGAGTTACCCGCCAGGTGGATAAACTCGAGACTCTTGAATGAACCATACTCTGCCGGGATGGTGCCACTGAAATAACTTCCGGCGAGATTCAAAATCTTGAGATTCTGAAGCTGGGAAACTTCAACGGGCAGCTGCCCTGAAAAGCTGTTGCTGAAGGCATCGAGCACAACCAGATTCTGGAGACGGGAAATCCCACTTGGAAACTGACTGGAGAAATTGTTCCGGCTTACATCCAAGCTTTTTAGCCCCGTGAGGTTGAAGATTCCCGCCGGTAGCTGGCCGGAGAACGAGTTGCAACTGAGGTTGAGCTCCACAAGGTCTGTGAAGATTCCAAACTGATTCCCGGACAATGCATTTCCTCCCAGCTTCTTCAAAGACAGGTCCAAAGCTTCCACCTTTGTCGAGTTATCGTTGCATTTCACTCCTGACCATGAGCATGCATAGACTTTCTCTGGTGGGGTTTCTCCAGAAGGCTCTAACCAATCACTCAGGCTACCGTCGTGGTCTGTGAACTCGGATTTTAAGCTCAGGAGGGCTTCTGAGTGAGGATCGATACCAAGAACGAGTGATGTGCAGAACAAGGCAGTGACGAAGAAGAAGAATTTCAATTGGAGATGGCGGACGACCTCCATGGAGACTCACAGTGGAGAGAAGGAAGAAAATCTGTCAGTTTAAAGTAAGTTCTTCTCCTTCACTCTCTGTTTTTGTTTATTTTGAGTCCATTTATTCATGTTGAATGAGAGGTGCATGGGGACTAGAGAAGAGAGAGAGAGAGAGAGCAGTGAAAGGGAATGACGTATGGGGATTAGTTGGGTATTTGATAAATTATTGAGCTGCTTTTGGGAGCAAGGAAGGGTCCCTTATTAAGAAGAGGGGTTTTGTAATCGCGGATGGTGTTTGGCCGGTATCTTTGAAGAGTCCCTTTCCTGCTTTATACTAGAGAAATTATTTTCTTGCCACCTTTAGAAGATTGGGTTTACATTTCAGAAAGAGGAGTAAAAGACAAAGGGTTAGGAACCTAATCCTCCATATCTATTGTTATTTTAATTTGGATGATAAAAGGGGACGGCAGTATATTTCCTATATCTTTGCCCCCGGTGGTCAGACGGCTTTGGATTTAATCGAGTTTGGAGGAGGTGGAATCTTTGTCTTGCCTTGCAACTTGCAAGGATTGGCATATGACTGGAATATTGGAAGGTGGCAATAGGCATTCCAGATGGAAGCTGATGGTATAGCAAGCCAAATCTTTCAACTGTGGACGAAAGTAGCTTCATGGTAGACTATAAAAAACAAGAATCTAACTTCCTCTTACTATTTTACTTTGGATTTGATTGGGGAGGCGGTCAAAGCAAGAAAAAGAGAAGAAGAAAAATTGTCTTTCAGCTGTAGTGTAGCCGTTGGATTTACTTTCAGAACCAAAGGGTGAAAAAACAGTGCTTGAGATATCATATTTGGTATCCGTTGGTCAGCTGCATACTATAGACCAAGCCAATAGAGTCTTATTATGTGTTTCATCGTGTTCTTAAGGTTTTTTTATTTAGCTCTTTAATCGTTCGTCTCACTGGTTTGATTTATGATGCAGTTAAGGGAGGATGACCATAGCTGATGGAAAGTGTTGAAAGTGGAAATTGGAGCTGCACCTCTCTCTCTCGTCTTTATCTACCCAACAGTAGACTGAAGCTGGGCAGGGAAGCAAGCAAGGAAATCAGGTAACGATCTCTATTTTGGACCATCTATTTGTACATATTTGTGTACAGAGCAAACTTTACATAACAGACAACGGAGTGAAAAGATTGGGGAACAGAGTAAAGCCAAGAGATGTGTTAAAAAATGAACTCTCTTTTCCTTCCATCCTGCTAATCTATGATTAGCACCAGCTTCCATTTTACGAACTTAAACACCCTTTTGTGCCTGGGAAGCCACTTGGGAGAAGAATAATTAACAGTGATTCAACGTCTATAATGCAGGCAATTTAACAGGGGAATTTGCTGAGTGTAGTGGAGGAGGAGCAAAAAGAAAAAGGTGAGGAATTTGATTCCGGGCACTAAGCCTTTTCCTTTTTAATAAATCTGCAGCTCTTTTTTACGCAAAAAAAGTAGACAATTACCAATGTGGAGGATTTGTCTTGTACACTGGATGACAAATACTAATTGAGTAATTTCACACAAGAATATTATATCCAATCTTCCCTAACTGCTTTTTCAGTCCCAGTATTGTAACAAGTTCCACTTGGAGTTGGTTTCCCTCTACCTTGCCGAATTTCCACTTGGATCTCGAGGTTCATTAGGGTGAAATTCAATCTTGTCAGAACCGAACCGAAGCATGACACGGTAATGCGAACGGCTCGCACTTTAGTGGTCCAACCGACATTAGACCATTTAAAAACCGTTACCGGTACCTAATAAACGTTATCAGTATAAATAGTGGACATTTCTTAATCAGAGCTCATCTCTTTCCTTCGAAATTGTGAAATGGAAATAAGAATTCAGTTTGAGAGCCCGACTTTTTTTGGTTTATTTCAATTTTCAATTTTGTGCAATTTTTTTAATTAAATTTAGTGGCTGAATGGCAAAAACAGGACGAGCGGCTCAGTCGGCTCGAACGGTTAACCGCCTCGACCGCTCGCCAACCGCTACATAAAACCGGAGCGGCTTTTAGACTGTTCCCAGCCGGTTTTGTGAGCGGGTGGCGGTTTTACCGGTCGGGCTGAGCGGCTCGGCTTTAATAACACTACTAAAATCTACTTAGAACCTCTTGAGGAAAACCAGGAAGTTTTAGTCACCGTGGTTACTAAGGGTAAATTGGGTATGAAAAAATAAAATTTTTTAATTAATTTTTTAATAAATTACAATTAAGGTAGTTACAAAAATCTATTAATTAAAATTCTCTCTTTCTCTCACTTCCGTAATCTCCAGCCAGATTTCCTTTCCATATTTTTCTCAATCTTTCTGCACAAAAAAAAAAAAAAAAAACGAAATCAGTACCAATCCATTAGACTAACAATACCAGTTTGAAAAACATCAATACCATTGCAGAAATAAATCTATACCATTACACGAAAACTACCATTGCAGAAATAAATTTATACCATTACACGAAAACTACCAATATAAACAATCAATACCATTGTAGAAATAAATCTATACCATTACACGAAAACTACCAATATAAACAATCTATACCATAAACAATCAATACCATTGCAGAAATAAATCTATACTATTTCACGAAAACTACCAATATAAACAATCTATACCACTACACATTGAATCCATAAACGAAAACTACCAATATGTCTATTTGGTATGTATGTTGTGATGGTAGAGAGAGAGAGAGTAGAGAGAGAGAGAGAGCAGTACCGCCTGCAGGAAAGCGAACAGGGAAATTAGGGTCTCTTTCGTTTGTCCTAGAGATGTATAAAGGCTTTGAGATTTGGCTATGGCGGAGACGAATTTTGGCTATCAGACAATAGGGTTTTCGTCAAATGGGAAGGACCTCTGTAGAACGAAAATTGACGGAATGGGGAACTGCAACCAAGAGGAGCCCATGCTCATCAATAGAGGGTGGTCAGGGGCTGCTGCCGGCGGTGGCCGAGGGGGGTCGGGCTGCTGCCGGCGGTGCGACGGGAGTGGTACGTGGAGGCTGCTGCGATGGGTTTGGCTGGAGGAAGGATAGAACTAGGGTTTATGTAGATTATATTGAATAATCAGGTGTGGTCACTTTTTAATTTCCAAAATTACCCTAAAAGAATCTTGATCGTAAGATTAAAAAAGAAGGAAAAATAATTAATCAAATGGTATATAAAGAGGTTGCCACCGTGATTACTAAAAAAACAAGTAATCACCCTAACTCATTCCGAAAATATGAGATACCGAGCTCGAGATGGTAGGTAGTTTAAGCAGTAGGAAACGACTTAACCATATTTGTGAAACTGTACTATACTGGTGGTTCAATCGTAAAATACCAGTATTACATACCAAAACGATAGGTGATATATAGTGATATTAATAGTTGAATTACAGTTAAACCACTATTTCACCATAAAGAATCTGACCACTAACTTTTTCAGTACAGTCTCATATACGATTTCGCAATTTTTGGACTAAACTATAATTAAAGAATGATTTTAGTACAAATATCTTACCATTGAATTTAACATTATAACCTCTAATTCATTGTCTTTTGCTGAGAAACAAAAGCTCTTTATTATCATTTTGAAAGCAATGTCAACTATCATGTTAAAAAAAAAGTAAATACAATATATTAGCTACAATTATTATGAAGCGGAGAATTATAGCCACAACTATATAAATTCAAATTATTATCCAAACGTTAACTATTTGTTAACAATTTCCTTAGTAATACTGACTAAACTTTTTTGTTTTAAAGTTATAAATTAAAAGCATTCCGATGTGGCCACTGTCGTGGCCGATGACGTGGCCTTCTCCGTCAAAAATTCAATAACAGTAATGTATAGTTAGCCATATCTTGACCCGCAACAAAAGGTTATGACTAATAATTTAAATTTTCATAGTTGTAGCTATAATTCCCCGATTCATAATAGTTGTGGCTAATATATTGTATTTACCCTAAAAAAATTAATGATACTACTATGCAAAATATTGTAATATAAACTTCCAAATACAACTTATTCCATAGAATTGAAAATTAAAAAAATTGAGATTATTTTTATGTCCACTCATAAACAGTTTAGTTTATAACCACAAGTTAAAAGATCTTATAAATGTTGGAAAACACTTATACCTTCATACAATTTTGAATACTGCTATTACAAAAATTATAGAATGACACAAAAATATTTAAAATACTAAACTAAGATGAATTGATAAAAAAAATGTAACGTTGTGCGGGTACAAAGCTAGTTGCATTAGGGAAAGATTTGAATGTTGGAGTTGCTATGGTTTGGAATCTTGGATCTAGTAGTGTTGCAGTGGCCATATGCAGGGGTACTTAGCTTAGAACAGGAACTCATTTTGGTTCTTTCTCCTTTCTAATAGATTTCTTTAGATTTGGATTCTCCTCTTTTCGGATGGTAAATATTTCCCAAAATATGATAGATTTAGGACGGTGTTGAACGGGAAACATTGAAGACTCAAACCAATGGCTTTGAAGTCGAGAGGTCTTTCGGTTTATGTATTCTTGCATTATAGCCAATTTTGCTAAAATGCTCACAAACCATATACGTTCTCACAGATGGATTGTGTGCACCATAGTCGGGTTGCAATATAATCGACACATAATCAACAGAGCTACATGCATCAATCACTACACTGAATGGAAAGACGTTTATATGTTTTGCTGATCTGGTTTGTCCTTGTATATAATTCATGCATGGGAGGAGCAGAACAAAGGGTGATCACGAGGGAGAGGGAGTCAGTGCAAGAGTTTCAGAGAGAGAGCCCGTGATGAAATGAATGCTGCAGTAAGGAAAAGAAAGAAAAGGGACTTGTCCGTATTGGTAAGTTGTCATTACTCATCAGTACTACTACCACTACTTGGTTACAGTACAAAGAAATTATTGCTTTGGTTGCACACCATTAATGATTTGAAGTGGTCATAGAGGAAGAGACTTGACAGGGAGGGAGTGGGCTATAAAATGTGCCAAAATCTATTGTGAGTTTGTGGTAGTGATTTTGGCAGGAGTTATGGCAGGAGTTATTGGTGTTAGTATAGAATCTATAGAACCACTGTCTCAATCTTGTTCAGGTTTAGTAAGATTAGAAGAAAGAGCATATGCTTATTGGCCGATAGTTGAGACTTCGGTGGATTGGTACTCGAGGTAGCGTATAACTCTTTTTCGACTATAGAAACTCCAAATATCATTTCTGTTTTCACAATATGGACTATATGTCTCATGAGCGAAGTATTACTGTATTAGTTCTTTATATCAAGCATTAAACATGATTCATGAAGGCCAAGTGGATATAAATGTTGGTCCGAGGACTGTTGATGTGATTCCTCAGTCGATGTGATACGTGAAAGCGAAGTAGACGAGTCGAGGGAAACATGGAGCACATGAGTTATTGGAATTTCTTATTGTAACTAAATTACTGTCATAGCAAACTTTTCATTTACAATGAGGGGCTTCAGTGTATACGTTCAAGATTATTCCGACTACGATGAATACTCTTAAGCTCACGAGAGCAGCGGATTGAGCTTCGAGCCTTATCGGTGGTCACCAATGCCATAGTGTAGAGTGAATTGTGTGGGAAAGGAAAAGAGATGAGGCGTATGGTATAGGGAGGGATGAAAGAAAGACAGAAATCTCGTTTCTCATCTTTTTTAGCTCGAAAAAGAATGAGCATTTGCTCAGAATGGAACACACTACTACACTACTTAGTGACACTCTCAAAGATAAAAGATTCCTTCCCCTTTTTCTTTACCTAGAACAGTAAAACAAGAGGTGGGTGGGTGATCATAGACCAATTTGGTCAGTGGGGTAGAGAGTTTATTTTTTTGACCCATGAATGATATTTGGAGTCCCAAACACAACCTTTAATCCAATCCAATCCAGAGCACCAAAAACACAACCTTCAAAGCTAAAGTTAAACCCCACCACCAACATTCATTCATCCACACTAATTCACTAATCTCTCAATTAACTCTCATCACCTCTTCTTTATAGTATGTAATTGCCTTGACCCAAGGTAAGGGCAAAGGGAGAGTGGACAGGACACCACTTCACAGTCCCCAGAATGACAACTTTGTCCCTAAACCTAGATGGTGTGTGTCGTTCCGAATGGGAAAAGAGAGGAGGGTTACTTTCGACAATCGACGATTCAAAAGGGTATCCCAAATTAATCAAACAAGCAACAGAACATTCATGAATTGAATTGAACTTGATGTGACTGAAGGAGTGCAGAAACTAATGTAGCAATGACAAGCCAAAGGGCTGAGCAAGGGCACAGTGGATCGTGATTCGAGCGATAAAGCAGAAGACTTTTTCTGCATGTGCATGTAGTTTCAATAATGAAAAGACATAACTGGAATTGGTAACTAAAGCAGTTCATCAAAACAATCTCTCCCTCTGCAACCCAAGGGCATGCTGTTCAATACCAATTGAATAAAAAAAGAGGACTCATTGAGATTACAACCCCAGGTTGGTCTAGTTACAGGCTCTATGCAATGACAATTGGTTACTTACAGGTGTTTTTCTGCCTATGAGAGTCTTAGTATCAAGGAATGCTAATGTATATGTTGCTCATCCAAAAAAACGCATATGAATCGATTGATTTTATCTGAAGATTAGATTTCATCTTTTCCCGGTACACAATAAGGTACAACACATTTGGGAAAGTGAGGTCTCAACTAGGCAGGCAGTGCAAGCTAAACAAAAAGGGATTGATGACAGATTGAAAACATCAAACCTCCAATGTCTCAGCAGTTTCGGGCTTCAGTTTGTTCAGCCTCACGGTACCTAGGACGAACTCTGGCAGCTCGGCCTCTTCCTTCCCCTGCATAATCATTATTGTGTTACCAAATCAGGACATAGAACAGGCAATAGCATCGAATCTACAATTCAGCCGAACCCCAAACGTGGAATAAGGACACGGACCTCAACGAGAATGGCAAGATCAACAACTAAGCTTGTAACATATCCGAGAACAAGGCCAATGACACTTCTTGCAACCGATGATGATCCGATATCCACATCGATCTACAGATTTATTAGAAAATGGTTAGGAAACCCAAAACATAAACAAAAAATCGTATCTCATATTAAGCAATACTACGACATTGAGGCAAATACATGTTTGATGGATGGAACTCTCTTTGACGCATAAATTCTTCCAGAACAGTCGGCAATAAATAAGGGGAAAAAAATTGAAATTTGATCCCGCTCAACATTTACCTCCAGAAAGTTGTCTTGTCTGAGGTACTTGCAAGTTACAGCTTTGCCCAATAGGCAAGCTTTCGTTCCAACAGCACGTTTCACCATCCAATAACCCTGAGAAAACATCAGGTTCAGAGTAAGTGCCACATATCATACCAACCAATGCAAAAAAGATTAACTCTGCTCAAGCTTTGGGCAATATTCCTATTTCACTACCTCAATGATACTGGGAATCAATTTGAATCTTGAATCTCGAAACATATCTGTCCCATCAATAAACTTCCCCAACAAAGATGCTTTGTTCACTGGCCTATCTGCAGCATAGTAGAGTACCAAACTGTAGTTTGGTTTTGCTGGAATCTGAAATAGGAAAATTGAGTTCAATTAATCTTCTTTGGAACTTCATTGATCCATAAACATCTGACAAGTTACAATGATGGCATGCATTTCATTACAATGTAGAGTATGTTTTGGTGACAGCAATTTCAAGAAATAATTTCAATCCCAAGCACACATGGCATTCAGATAGCAGACAATCCTATCCACCACTTTTGCAAAATGAGCCACAGATGGTTTATGCTGCAGTAAATATGCACACGTCAAGATAATTTTGGATATTAAGAAAGGTGCGCTAACCAGATACCGAACATGTTGGCTTATCACTGTTAGGATAAGCAAAACTGGTCTTCTATGATACTGTGTCTTACAAAAGAAAAGACATTCTGTGGTAAGCACACCATAAAGTATTTGCATGTAGTACCTGTAGATTAATAACCAGAACGAAAGGAAGCTGCTTCCCAGCTGCTGTCTGCAATGGAAAGGTGAGGTGAGTGGATAAATAACTTCCAGGCTAAAAGAGGATACTTGAGGCATGCACTGATGCACAACCTGAATTCTCAAACCTAAGTGAATCCGTCACACTATCACGTTATACAGAGTTCTTTCCGACTAAGAGGGATCATCTTATCATGAAAGAGAACAAGGGAGAATCTACCTGCAATAAACACTTGGGATGCAGTGCAACCCCATCTGCGGCTCTGTCAACTTTGAACCAATCAACTGCTATTAACTGGAGAAGGGGATCTCCACCCACCACCTGAATGTATTATTACAACCAGAGTAAGCATTAAAAAAGAAAAGTACTTGCCAAGCATCAGACTTGTGCAGCAGCACCATCAATGGTCATGATAATGTGGGTATCCTATATACCAAGTTTCGGGACCGAGTCTAAACACTAACCTTAGAGTTATCCTTTAGATACGTTTTCCCTCTGATCTTAAATCCTGATCCATTCGGAGAAGTCCAACAGTTGGAATCTTTTTCATCCTTTCCTTTGTGAAGAGAACCCTTGAATTCACTTGGTTCAATAATGACCGGAGGTACATTAAGATCTAAAGTTTCCTCTGCACCTGGAGCTGTATTCAAAATAGATATCATTAATAAAATTGCACAGAAAAGCAGACAAAAAATAATGCTCACAAGTCACAAGGACACCAGCGATTAGCTCCATTTTATGCAGCCTTGTGGACTCCTCACATAAAACAGAAACTAGAAAAATAATATATGCCACGATTGTCATTTAACTCTCCCTTAATGCTAGACTGAAATTAGTCAACTTGAAAGGTCTGTCATCTTAGGAAAAGCAAAGCAAGCTTCCATAAGGTGGGATAAGATAAGATTCGATCAAGTAAATAAACTTTCTGAGACCACAAGATAATTTTTCAGAAAACATTTCAGAAAATTGAGTGAAAGGTTCCACAAAGAATATACCTGAATTTCTCTTCAAAGCTAAGCTTGCAATAGCCCATGAAACATTTTTCAGTTTCACCCTCCCATCCTGTTCAAAAGATGACCATAATTAGGACTAGAAGTCAATTGGTTTTATATTTGGGCCTACAACACTTCAACAACAATACTGAATGGAAGTATAGAGTAAGCATGAAGAGTAAACCTTTTTCGAGTGTGAATTTTTGCTACTGCCTTCCTCTTCATCTGACGACGACGATGATTCTCCAGCAATAGCATCATAAAATTCATCATTGACTTCTGCATCATCATAGTCAATGGGACTCATGGAGGCATCAGAAAATTTTGAACGAACAACCGTTGTAGAAGATTCCACTCTCAACGCAGGACTTGCTCCTACATATTCTTTCAAACCTGATAAAAAGTTATTTGGAAAAGTTACTACCAGTGAAGCTTGTTGCACATAAGTTAATAAACTGGTTGCAGCATTTACTTTCATGATAAGTAGATAACTTCTAATTTGGAAATATCAAGCAGCTTACTGATTATCAAGGTTAACACTTATACCAGTACAACTGACACGAAAAAGGAAAAGTTATCAAGTACTTGTTGGCCTTACGTAGTGTGTCTAAAACAATAGGAAACATGAAAGGAACAACTAATATTTGCAAGGAAATTACTCCAAGAGATATTGTTAACGGCAGGAAAATAGACAAGGAGTCCACACCAATGTCACTTAACTGGCAAAGTCATAGTTAATTCTGAGGAAAACTTCCCCAAAAATGATGATCACAACAGCAAAGCACTTATACTGATAACATAAGAATAATTTTGAGATGTGGGCTCAGAGACCAAACAAGTTGCATTGGTGGCTGGAAATCCAAACATGGCCATATCCCCCAAATAAATTCAATTGAAAACATGTTTGAGAGACAAGCTTTTTTAAACAAGGTTGAAGGGAAAGAAACAAGGTAACCAACCTGCCACCTGACTCAACAGGGCATAAGGAATAGTTTTTTCAAACTTGGCGCAGCTGTTTTGTTTCCATTTACACCAGCCAGCTTGATTTATCTCTAACATTTGGCTCACGATGCATCTTGCTGTGGCAGAACCCATTGGTGCACTCAGATTTCTTATCTCCCAAGTTGAAGCTAAAAAGTGACATCCAACATAGGCAAAGGAAAGAAAGCTAATCAATGAAAAGGTATTTGGTTTAATTTTATCAATGATAAGCAGATCATCAGACTCCATGGGATTAAACTGTGAACAAGAATCAACAAGCTGGAAAGGAGAAGACAAAAAGCAAGCAATTCGCTGTATAAGCATGGTTGAACATGTGTGCATAATAAACTTTGGAACCAAAAATCAATTCGCCAGGTTTACAACATGATAATATGTTTCTCATGCTACAACTTCAAAAACTTCATAATACGAAGTGAATTTCTAGGTAAATATGGCATTTAAAATCCTTGTGTCTGCCCAATCTTGGGTCATTATGGATTGTGGTTGTTAACAATAAATAATAAGCAGAATTGCTCATTGGAATATTAAGAGTCTACTTAGAAAATAAGCTTCTTACGGTTTATTTTTGTCCGTCGATATCCAGAACTTGGGGGTCGCTTCTTATGTACAGCAGGAAATTGCAGGATTGCTGCAAGAAAGCAATACCAAACAAAAGCCAACCAGTTAGATTAGATATACTCACATCATTGGTCAAAGACTGATTGCCAGAAAGGAACATGGGTAATATCAAATATTTTCTTACTGTATGCCCCATCTTGTCCACGGAACCACTGCCTGGAGAAGACAAAATCTCTGTTGGATTTCCACCTGTAAAGCACAGATAAAAGTGGAATTAGCTTTCCGAAAGCTGTGAATTTTTTAGTACTACATAAAGCTGATAGATTTCAAACGCAAAATTAGTCACAAGAAACATAGTTTTGTGCGATGTTTCAAGTATAGGAGCCTAAACAGGAGCCAAGACAGCAAAATAACCAAAGCAACAACATTACTAAGAGACTAATGGCAGTGGCAGCATAATCATTGCTCAGAAAGTGATTCCAAGATTGATGTCCAAGACCAGAAGATGATAAAGACAGGTGGGTGAGAATGCTTGGGATCCAAAAACATAACAAAAACAATGAAGCAGAAGAAGATAAAATAATTGATACCTAAAAATGTAATCTACTTGCTGAAACTGTAGCTTAAGAAGAGAGTGTATGATACCCTGCCAGTCAAATTACCGTGTAAGATACTTCGGATCGTACGTGCCATACAGAACATCATAATGTCCATCATAGGAATCTAAGAGCTCCAAGTCCCCTGTCAACGTGTCCCATCTGTAAAGAATTATTAGAGACTTCTGAACTCTATAACCAAAATCTCTGGAATACAGATCAACGAACTTACTCATATCTTTGCTGTTGATCGAGGTTTATGAATACATCAAAAACAGTATCAGCACTTGCATCAACAACACCAACCGCTTTCACGAGGGTACCTTTATCACTCTAGTAAAAACGAAATACAATATGGTTAATAACAAAACCAAAGAATGTTTCACTCGTTGATAAGGGAAAAAATGTTTCACTCAATTTCATGGAAACTTTCAAACTTTCACTCAATTTCTCCAAGTCTTGTACAATCATCGTGTATTCTCAGAAAGTACAGGTACATTACAACAGAAACCTAGGAGTCTATATAATGCAAGGACAAATACCTTGGGATTAGACACATCCTCAAAAATTCGAACACCTGAAACAAAAGTGAAGACGAGTAATCAATATCCACTCTTGATATGCTATGCAGACTCAAGGAAAACACCAGAATTATTTGGATCACTTAGATGCATAGAAAGCAGAGAAACACCATTTACAGTGCGAACACATCTCCACTGGTGTACTTCAATAACATCTTCACTCTCAGCTTCAAAAAATCCATCTGACTTGACATTGCCAACCAAATTTGAGGCCTGCCGCAACAATGTTTCCGGACCTTCAATAAAAAATCACAATGTTTCTGGAACTTCAATAGTCGTGAGAAAGAAATTGAAATTCAATTTTTCTTCTTACTATTATGGATGGTGGTACTATTCAAGCAAAACACTAGTTTCTCTCATCATCAGTCGACTCAGACTCTTTAACCATATGACACGAAGAAATATTTTCCTTTTTTGGTAATATAAAGTGCTCAACCAATTTTATCATCTGAATACAGAATTTCATAGAAAAATAAATTCTAGTTGTTATGAAATCCAGATTTTTCCCATCTCATTCAACTTTCAGGAAACACCATCAATTTGTGGATTGTCCCTTCTCCAACTGCTCAATGTGGTTATTACAACCTTCAGATAAAGCTTTTCTTGCTTTAACTCCTCTCACTTTAGTTGTTACTCAACAGCAAGAAGACAAGAGGCATGACTCCTTACCTTGCCCTATCCTGATAAGCCTTTTTAATCCATGTGCATAACGCCTCATTTTGGGTCGATGGGCTTCTAGATCGATCCTTGCACAACAAGAGAATTAACAAGTTCAGAAAACGATAATTTGTCCAGTTCTTAATAGTTGTGGAAGAAAACAAGTTGAACTCATAGTTGCCTATGTAAGAAAGCAAATGTGCACAAGACTAGTGCGTTAGTGCTTGAGACAGTTGTCTTACTCATTTTCAATGCTTAGCCTGGTTCTTGGACTCCGACCAGTTGAAAGCTCAATTTCAGCCTGTCAGAAAAACATTTGATATAGGATTAGCACGAAAATTATTTCCTTTCGAAATAGAAGATGAAAAAAGGAAAAGGCCGCATAAATACAGCAATCAAATGTTCCAAGAAGACCCTGAAACAGGCTGCAAATGATCAGTATTATTTATACATTCCCAGTAAGGTCCTTGTACCTGTTGCTTTGCATGATCAAATGCCTCCATCCATTTTCGAGCTTCTCCAGCCGTAGCACAAGCAATCTTTAATAAAAACAAGGAGTTAGTCATAAGTTACTTTTAGTATACGAAACCGGAAAAACTCAAGAAAGTAAGCTACATGTATCAGGATCTACGACTTCGTGAACAGATTAGGTTTTTAGATGAATGATTCAAAATTACTGTTGGGGCTGAGGTTCCAAAACTGAAGGAGCTGGAACAAATGGGTATAAACATTATCACTCATTCTAACGAGCAGCCTTAAGCCTTCTCCCGTATGACATTTTTTTGCCTAAACGTATCCATCATTGATAACAAACCGGTGACTCATTCCTTGTGATAGTAATTAGCAAAACCAATAACAGAACTACAACTTACTTCTCCTTTCTTTGTCTCGTCCAGTCGGCTGTAGAAGCGTATGACATAAACATCCTACAAAAGAAATAGGGAATAATAGAAGAGAAACCAAGGTCAAGACACCATTGGGTTCCAAGTAAACAAAACTGGAACTAGAAAGAAAAATCTGCATTCACCAAAATCTAATACAGCTATATTAAAGAGGCATACCCCTTGATTGACCTTCCGACGCCCTAGCTCCTCGACCATAAGGGTGGGCCCTACGACACCCCTTCGAATGGGCTTCTGCACAAGCAAAAAGATTTAACATCAGAAGTGAGCACCAACCTATGCCCACATCCACTGCTTAGACAAGTACTAAGGATGACTAGCTTGGTAAAGTCCATATATTGTACACCACAGAGGTAATAGCAGAAATGCATTACTGGTAGAATATCAGTTTAACCAACTGACATAAAATGTGCACAAGCCACCACCATTTGACATATATCAAACTACCCACTTCAGGTTAGAAATATCATGTGACCAGAGTGAAACTTTCAAATTGATAAAAGATAGATCAAAGTCATCAACAAACTCAATCCTATCAAAGATGTTACTGATGTGATCATCAGTTCAGTACTTTCCAGTTTCCTCCAAGTACATTATAGAAATACGCACCTCCCTTTCCTGTTAAAGTTTGGTTAATACGTAATACCATGGTAGAAACCAGAATGCACACCAGCATTTTAAAGCTTAGATTGTCAAAGTTGTCAACAAACTCAACACTATCAAGCAACCTAAGTCATCAATGTAATCACCAGGTCAATACTTTATCCAATAACATTTGAGGATAAGCCATCTCTTCTTCCCATTCCAACTTTGGTAATACCCAATGACAGGGTAAACCCAATAAGCACGCCAACACATTTTAGCTTATGAACAGAGCATCTAGACTTGATCACTTCTCTACAACTAATTGAAGGCCAAACAAACCGGACTACCTAGAGTCCAGAAGGAGTTCCTTGCTGCCCCCCAGGCCCCTAGGCAAATGAAATTTGCACATGTAAGCTAAATTTGGTACCAGCATTTCCTCCAGGTGCCATAGATCATTTGCTAACTTAAACCAATTAGAAAGAAGGCAGAAACCTTGTCCTTCCAACCTCCAGTTTGGCATATTAGAACAGATAAAACAAATTCCCCACTTGTTCACAAAAGACTAATCAAAACCCAGAATATTGCTGCCCAGCAAACGGGGCCAAGCTTCCCAATAAACAAAACAACTCGCAAACAGGAAAAGAAAACAAAAAACAACAAACAGGGGAAAGAGAGATGGAAAGCTAGATAGATAACGTACAATGCCGGGGCTCTCGTGAGGATCGCGCTTGTACATCTCGACATACTTCCCTCTGATGAACAAGAATCGCAAATGGCAGTACTCGTGCCCAATCGAATTCGTCCCCAAATGATAAATCCATCCGAAATACTCGAACGCTCCCCCTTTCTCCTTATCTTCACCCGCCCGCCTCCCGCTGCTCCCGCTGCCGCTGCTGCTGCTATCCAACAGCTCCTTCTCCGACCCCACGCTCCCACCAACCTTCCTCACCGTCACCTCCGTCTGCGTTATCCCCTCAGCCTCCATTTTCCTCCTTCCTCCTCGCAATTTCCTCTTTCCTCTTCCTCCTCGCAATCTTGATCCCTCCCTTCCTCCTTTCAGAAGCTCGATCTTCCTACAATCATAGCTAGGGTTTCGAAATTTCCTCGCGATCGGAATCCGCGTTCTCTCCCCTCTTTCTCGAACAACAATGGAGAGAGAGAGGGAGAGATGGAGAAGAGAGAGAAGAGAATATGACAGAGTGGCGTTGGGCGGCAATTATTGGTGGGAGTTTTGTTTCCCGCCTTTGATCGGCTCTCGATATTGGTCAGGCTGGCTCCCTCTGCTTCCGACAGGTGGCGGTGGCGCGTGGCAGCCGACGATTTAGGGAGAGAAATGCTCGGAGTTCGAGGCAAGGATGTCGGCTTGGTTTTTAGAAATGGGTCCTTTTGACAAGAAAGAAAATATCTGGTGGGTCCGACCGGGTTTATTGGTAACCGGTGAGTGGTCGGCTGCCCACTGTATTTAAGGGATTAATTAACGACTTTAACACTATGTTTGGCAACAAGGGGGGTGCAAGTTCGAGAGGGGTGCAAGTTGAGGGGTAAATTGTTGGGGGGTGCAACTTGGTGGAGGGTGTAAGTGGAGGGGTAAATTGTTGTTTGGATGAAAAAGTAGGGGGGTGCAAATAGAGTAAAAAGTAAGTAATTATATTATTATAAAATAGATTTATCAATTTATAAAATATTATCACAAAATAATAACATGAAAATTCAATATATAATAATAATAAATAATAAATAAAAATAATTTTAATAAAAATAATTATTATATAATAATGCTCAAATATAATTATTTATAATAATAATAATAATCATTGGTCGAGCAACCTCGAAACTCGAAATCCAACTCGTAACTGGTCATCCTAAGGGGGTTCTCGTGCCTAACTTTAAATTGAATATGGTCAAACTTAGTCAAACACGTTCGAATTTGTAAGTTTTAACTACTTATTAAAGTAAATCGAGTTAACTAAACTGTCACTCTCTATCTTTTCAACAAACGCTTCTTATCTCTAATTTTCAATGCAAATTCGGGTCAACTAAGAGATATCGATTTGACTAGGCGAACATTGACAAACTTGCTCTCTGAGTCAAATGGTCAACCCCAAACAACTTCTACACTAATATAGATATAAGAAAAAATTAATAATATTAATTATTATGTAATTATAATCTAATTAAAAATCCATAATTCCCCTCCTCCCCCTTCCCCCTCCCTTCCTTCCTTCCCTTGCACCCCAATTTGGGGGGTAAGCCGAAATAGTGAATTTACGCTCACGTTTTGCACCCCCCTACTGTTACAAAATAACCAAACGGGGGTAAACACCTTGGAACTTGTGTTTACCCCCCAAACTTGCACCCCCCTTCCATTTACCCCCCTTCCCAAACATAGTGTAACTGTCGGGTTTTCTTGCCGACGGTTTTAATTGGGCGATGATGACAATTTAGCTGGTAATTAAGCAGATTATCTCCCCCGGAATTAACCATCTCTTCTCATGGTCACTAAACTTTGTTGGATATAACAAAGTGGTCACTAAATTATATATGTGGTAATCGGGCGGGTTCGGGCTGGGTTCAAACGGGTTGTGGGTTAGTCGGGTTGCAGGTTCATCGGGTTCGGGTTTAAACAGGTTGCGGGTTAGTCGGATTGCAGGTTCATCGGGTTCGGGTTCGATTGGGTTGCGGGCAAATCGGGTTGCGGGTTCATCGGGTTTTGGGTCGGACGGGTTGCGAGCGGATCGGATTTCGGGTTGTTCGGGCCAGCGCATCGAGTAACTTACTCATTACCTGTTACCAACTTACACATTTTACTACACTAATTTGAAATATTTTTCTCAACTTTTTAACCAATTTATTTCTACCTCGTATATATATACTTCATTTTTTTTTTGAAAAAAAACAAGTTAAAATGTTAAATCAATTTGTATGACTTCCAAACTTGCTACGTTATTAATCATAATTGGTAAAGTACACTAGCTAATAGTAATGGTGATATCAATATTTGCAACCAAAAGACACCATTAATTGTTTGTTTGATATTTTAGTATTATTTCAGTAGTAATTGGATTAAAGTATCTCGTTTAGTATAACCATGCAAATCTGGTATTTGGTGTGTGGTATTTGGCAAAAGCAGAGTGATAAAAGGAGTTATTTCGAAATAACTCATTGCCCAAATAATCAGTAAACTGTTGTCAAACGAGTTATTTGTAAAATTGTTCGAATTATCCTAAAAATTGAACCATTAAAGATTAACTATCAAATTTAGTAAAATTATCGTGACTTCATCATAACTTACCCAATAACATATATCCTATACACTTAGCCTTACCCTCCATCGACAATATCAAGTTAGTATATGTTGTTGATTGTATACCCTAAACCATCAATACATTATACACTAACCACATACCTTATACCCTAATCATATGTCATTATGAGTTGTGATTTTGCTAGTATAGTTAATTTAAAAGTGAAATTCATAGTTTGATTTTCAAAACATGGATAAAAAGTGATATTTGCTAATTGTTATACCCTAACCATATATTCTATACTCTACACCGCATACCTTGTACCCTAACCACGTACCATAAACATAAATTAAAAAGGATCTCCTGCCGTTAAAGACTTAAAATGACTTCAAGTGAACATATGTTAATAAAAAATTTAGAACCGTCAAAACCATTAATATCTTATACGCTAACCATATTCGAGACATAGATAACTCGTATACAGAATCTCAACTTCTCTAGAATAAATCCGTAAGCATACGTTGGTTCCGAAGTAAGCAATGAAAAAGCTCCTTTTGAACTTTCTCTTAGTTGTTTTTTTACGGGTAGCGATGTTCCAATGTGGAGGTTAACTCAGTCCGGTTCTTTCTCCCTCAAATCAGCATATGGACTAACTGACGAGGAGGACGGGTGGGTCACACTCAGCATGGAGAGCGATATGGCGAGTCCCTGCAACCCAACGCATCCATACCTTCTTCTGGCTCGTGGTTAATAACCGCCTGTTGACCAATGCGGAGAGACATCGACGCCACCTGACTTTGACAGCAAGCTCACCAACCTTAGAGAACCCCATACCTATTCCATTATAAAGTCTTCCTGGCTATGCTCATTATAGGGGCTAAGGGTGCGAACAAACAAAGAAGCTCCGAAGTCGGGGACTAAACTTTCTACACCCTAAACCATTTGTACCTTATACCTTGTACCCTAACCATATACTTTATAGTTTATACCCTAAACAATGAACCGTCAAAGATTACTTATCAAGTTTAGTGTAATTGTTGTAACTAATGGTTATTTATTTATTATCCCATAAACAATTTTATATATATATATATTAGCCTTCAAAGCATATAAGAATAAATTTAACTTGTCATGCCCTCCATATAAAAATTAAAGATTCATATTTCAAAGGCTAAAAGTTTGAAAAACTAAAAAATTGAAAACACCAAATTTGTTTCCTTCTTTCTTTTCAAAAAAAAAAAGAAAAACCGAAAATTTCCTTCCTTCTTTCTCCTTTCATAAATTAGAAACACTCAATTTTCCCTCCTCTTTCTCTTCCATAAAATTGAAAGAACCAAATTTCCCTATTCCTTCCTTCCTTCCACAAAAAGTTGAAAACTCAAAATTTCCCTCATTATTTTTCTTTCATAATAAAAAGAACCGAACTTTCCCACTTCTTTCTTTTCCCACAAATCAAAACCACCAAAATTCCCACTTGTTTCTTTTCTAAAAAATTCAAAGAACCAAATTTCCCTCTTCTTTCTCTTCCCAAAAAGTTGATTACACCAAAATTTATCTTTTCTTTTAAAAACATCAAATTACCAAATACATTACTTTAATTTATTTATATTTAATTGATAATTTTATTGAATAGTTAAATTAACCAAAATTTTAATTTATATATTATATTAATATTGTCTATGATCTCAATTATTAATTCTTCATTATTAATATTGATATTATGTTGGTTTTATATTTTATATTTACTTTTTTGATTTTGTTAAAGAACTTAGTGTTCAAGTGACCTTCATGTTTCAATTTTTGTAATTTTCTTAAAATACATAATATCAAGTGAGTCTCATATTTTTTAAATTCCCTATGAGAAATGAGAATAATTTTACTTAAGTTTAGAATGAAAAAAATTATTTTGAAAAAGTATGTATTGTATATTATAATAATTATTCAAGTGGATTAGGTGAAATTCGGGTTGAGTCGGTCGGGTTACGGGTTATTCGGGTTTGGATCAATCGGGTTGCGGGTGAATTGGGTTGCAGACCAGTCGGGTTGCAGGTCAATCAGGTTCGGGTTAATCGGGTTGCGGGTCAGTCGGATTGCGGGTTAGTTGAGTTGCGGGCCAATCGGGTTGCGGGTCTGCGCGGGTTGCAGTCAGGTTTCGGGTCGGGTTGATCAGACGGGTTAATCGAGTCGGGCTATATTTTGACACATGTACTAAATTATGTACAGAGACAAAAGGGACGAGATGGACTTAAACGGGCTCGAATAACGAGCCAACTATTGTTAAGGGATGGGCTTGTCATCAGACCTTTTACTTGACATGAACTTAGGGGTCGTTTAGAAGTTGTGATTATTAAAATTGTGTTTGTTGAATACATGTATTGTGCACAATACAATGTTTGGATCAAACCAATTCGATTGTTGTTGTATCAAACCAATTCAACACACTCGAGCCCAACTAAGTAACTTATCATTGATCCTAATCCAAAATATATTAGCAAAATCATCCATAATTATGGATGCCGATCAAGACAATCAAGTAGCCTAAAAATCTAAATGAATTATTCGTGGTTACAGGTAAAAAAGAATACGAATATTTGGTGGATACGATTTTCTTACTATCAAACTCAAACCTGTCTAATTATCTATGCATGTACAATTTTTTTTAGGGTAAATACAATTTAATATCCAAACCTTTCATTTTAAACAATATAATAGCCAAACCTTTTCGAAAACAATCTAATATCCAAATCGTCAACTTTCCGTTTGTTTGACCGTTAGTTGACACTTCAAAAAAGCTTTGTTTAGGGGAAATTATCACAATACAACTTTGTTTCTTGTTTTGGCATTGCAGATGACTGAATATTTAGATATTCTATACCATCATGGTGGAGTCATGGACTTCTCGGGTTTGGAACTACGATATGTTGGTGGTTTTTCAGAGAAGAATGGATGGATATTGATGAAGTATCGTACTTCGAACTTTTTTGAAGTGTCAACTAACGGGCAAACAGACATAAAGTTGACGATTTGGATATTAAATTGTTTTCAAAAAGGTTTGGCTATTATATTGTTTAAAATAAAAGGTTTGGATATTAAATTGTATTTACCTTTTTTTTTAATTATGGGTCATCATTTTTTCGCTTAACATTCTATGAATTATAGTTCTCTTTTCATTATTTTTTCTAGTACCGGTCACTTGTATAATGTTAACTTGCTCGAGATTAATTAGTAATACATTAGTTGAGATGATAAACG